CCCACCACATCCATCCCCCTGTAATCACTCACAATTACACTTCCCTCCAATTCTGTGTTTAAACAATTAGGAACATTATACAGGAGTCATTTAGCACAATCCTCTCTGGCTGTGAGATGGCAGATACACTGACAGCAGGATCATGTTGGTTTTATCTAAACAGACAACCAGAATAACTCCAACTATTGTAAGGCAATATATGCAGCTATTTGACAAATAATAAGCATTACAGAGCTGTAGGAAGATTACATGCCTCCCTTTCCCTGCCATATAATCATGTGTTCCAGTCAAAGAACCGGTTATGTCCAATGAAATCAAAGTGCAGTGGTTCTGAACTAAAAATAGATTTATAATGACTGTGCACAGGATATCGAATATAGCTGTTGTTGTATTACACTGCTTCCTGCCTGATACAACCATGCTATATCTCATTCCACTGCAATAACCCATAAATAAACTTGCCTAATAGGAATAATAAAAGCTAATGTTCTTGCTCCACCAACAGCACACTTGGAGACAGGGTGCTAGGAGTCTTAATGTCAAGGTCAAAGCTACTGAAATCATTTGCAGTCACTGTCAGCTGTGTGATAAATGCCTCCTTGGACACACAGGAGACAATGGAGTAATTACATTCAAGGAGGCTGGATCAGTTGTATTTCATTGAGATTCAGTATGGGCTGAGTGTATGCATCTCTGAAAGTGTAACCAGAGAGGAGACGTAGAAGGATATAGAGTAGATCTTTCACTAAAAGGCCACTCTGTCATCCCTCGCTGATACAACACTAAAAATAAAACAGTATGCAGTGCGAGGGGAGCCCACATCTACCACATAACTGTACCTTGGGGAAATCATCAATCTCCTTCAGTCTTTTCTCTATCTGCAAGCGGCCCCCGTAGCGTGTGACCCCGTACACCACAGTCATCACGGTCTGCTTCACCACCTTCCTGCTGATGACGCCCTCCAGGAGCTGGGCGATTTTCAACCCGTTCTTTGCATCCCGCACTCTAAACTCCTCCACCTGAAACACATGGACATGTCGGGGATATTAACAGATGTGTTATTGGAGAATATTTAAATGCACAAGCCCAAATACATATAGATCAGGGTAGAAGTACTGATGTGCAATACAGCCAAACTCTTCTATCCAGATATTTCAGAATATCTTGATATTGATTTATCATGATTTGTTTGGTAAGTCAATAATTAAGTAGTATTTATCTAACAACCAGATCACAACAGAGCTGGCCAGCTAACCAATCAGAGCAGACTGGGCTCTGGTTTCAGACAGAGGGTGAAAAGAGGTGCCAAGGCACACNGGGTTTGACGTCATCTGAACAGGACATCGCACGCTCACTGCTTGATAGCGTGCAAAGGCCCGTTTACGCCGGTTGAAAACAACATCGTTATGGGGAAATGCAAGTTTGCGTCCAAATGGTTGGAAGATAAGGAGGAAGGACAATCCATACTGTATATAGTCAATGTGAGGTAAAGTGTGTAACCGGTTAAAACTCAAAGTGGCGATGAGTTCTTAAACTGAAAGGGTCTTAAAAAGGACTTAAAAGGTATTACATTTGACTTCAGGATTCGTGCATATACCCTGGTTCTATAGGTTTAAGTGCATGTAAATGGTCTGCAAATGCTAAAATCTCAAAGTTCCCTCCAGAGCGAGTTGGTCTCCCACACAAAACAAATCGCTTCCATTGGACTCCTTTGTTTACTTCTGTGACATAGTGACATCACATTGTACGTGATAGGCTAAGGGGCGGGACATCTCCAAGCGGTTGACCAATCACAACAGAGCCGGCCAGCTAACCAATCAGAGCAGACTGGGCTCTGGTTTCAGACAGAGGGTGAAAAGAGGTGCTGCAGCACAGGCAGTGTGAGATAAATAAAGAGCTTTTTGAACATTAAAGCATGTCTCAGTACATGCAAATATGAACCTGAAATGAGCCTAATAGAGCAAAGGAGCTTACACTTTTCACTGACGTTTACTTTAAACTATGTGCATCTCAGATCAATATTTTTTTACCCTTAGGCAGTGAAAGGAGAAATCGCAAAAACGGCAATGCTCAAGTGTCATTCAAAGTAATACAAAAAAAGAAAATAAATAGTCAAGTTAAAATCAGATTTGTACTCGTAAATGAAGGGGTCCCAGAGTGACAAATGTCTGACTTATAGACCTGGACATCACCACAAGAAGAGACACTTTGTTTACAGGACACCAAAGCTTCAAACGACACAGATGAAAGAGTGAACCGAAACAGTGAAAATACAGCTGAAAGACGCTATAAAGCACCCATAGAGCTTTGGGGAGAGTTAGGTGTGGCTCCTTCAATAGGAAACATATAATTTACATGTGACCAAAGGAAAGGAAATGATAACAGTTAAGCTGTGAGAGAGAGAAAATAAATGACATAGATGTACCGAGCTGGCAGCATTTAGGTTTTGGGGGTCTTAATCTAACGCAGGCAGAACAGCCAAGTCTTCATAAGGGCTCTTTTCATGAAACTGTGCCCTGGTGCTTTCTAAGGCCTGGGGTGCAGGGACAGGCCCCCCACCTCCCTCCCTCCCTCGCTCATTCTACCCCCATCCAGACCCTAGTCATCCTCCTTCCACCCCTTTGTAGGTCTTTTCCACTTTGATTTCATGTTTGCCCATCTCATGGCTCGGAGACGGGGCAGGCAGAGGCATTCCACAAAAGACCCCATGAGACGCTGCCCCCTCCACTTCCTGCACACTCACACCAATACACATAACAACACACATGCTAACACACACAGTCTGTATATATGTGTAGGTAAATGTGTGTTTGGACGTGAACATTCAACACCAAACATGCACACACACCCTACAACCAAATATGCACACCCTACCTTCCTAAACCCCTTGTTTCCACTCCCATCCAAAGAAAGAAAAGCTTGTGCCACAAACAAAGGCTGCATTCTGTTTCTCTTTCTGTTTTAGCTGTGTTCAGGGGATTCCGTGGGGCGGTTAAAATCTCATCTTCCTATTTTTTTCACCTGCATATAGTCTTTGGATTTCTGTTCTACGAGAAATCCAACAAACCCAACGTCGTCAAAATTCCCAGGCTGATGACGAACCTAGAAGAAGAAACCATACGGGGGTCCCCTCAGCTGTTCCTCCCCCAAACAGGCTGTGAGCCCGTATTTGGTAGGAGGTCCCGGGGTGTTCCCCTGAGGAGCCCCAGAGCTCTGGGTGTTAGTGTTGCCACTGGGGCTTTATAGACTCCCTACTGAGAGCATCTCCTTAGAACAGACAATGGGAGGCATTTATCCCCTGGGTGACCGTGCTGACCCCCTAAACTCACTCCCCTAAATCCGCCGGGCATGGACTGGCGGCTCCTTTCACGGAGCCTTTCACAAGGCCTCACAAAGGCGCCGTGGCCCATGGGCAAGCCTTCTCAGTACTGCATCACTTATACACATGCAAGATAAAGAATGGTGTAGAGGTAAGCAAGTTCTTCCATAGGGCTATAAAAAGGTTTGGTTCGGAAATGTAAAGAGTATCAATGCTTGTTTCTGAGTTTGGTTTTATTTCAGGACGTTTTTGCAACATTTTCAAGTTTCTTTATTGTGAATTAGCAAGACAGTAGCAGAGAGACAACGAGAACTCCATGAGTCAATAGGAACCTACGATGCACCGGCGCACACAAGAGAATCAAACTTCCCTTCAGAGGAGGAATAAAAACATTTTCTATTTCCAGCCTCTGCTGCCTTTTCTCATCCTCGGTGCTCTTCCCATCCCCAATCCGTGTTCGCTCTTTTCAAACTCATCCCCCTCTTTTCAGCCTCACTTCCTTTCCCAGTTTGTGTTGTTGTTGTCCCCCCCCCAACCCACCTACCCATTCCTCCTCTGTCTTTCACTCAGCACTTTTAATTCAACCCGCTTTTTACTCCCCTCAGCGTAGAGGCACCATTTCAATTTGGGGGTGTTAGTGTGTGTGTTTTTGTCTATAAGATTTGATGCGTGTCTGACTGGGACTATGTTAGTTAATGTGTGTGTATGTGTGTGAACTAGGGGAGGGGAAAAAAAGGGAGAGGAAGAAAAAGAGGTTAATATATGTGTGTATTTTGTGAGAGGCAGTGTGAGCAAGAGGGTTTTTTGCATGTGTGTGTGTGTGTCTGTGCATGCGTGTCTTTGTGCGCGTGATGGAGATTGAGTATAGGGGTTTACCCCCCTTTAGTTTATGCGTGTATCCTTTTGGGGACCCCCGCTTCAAGGAAGAGGCTTCCTTTCATGCTTTTTTTTTGCATTCCAATGCATCCTATACACTCCCTAATACCCCGTTAAATGCGGAGAAAATAGGCCGATTGGAAGGAGTGAGTGATAGACGTCTCTGTTCTTCAGATTTCACATTCTTTCTCTAGGTTCCTATTTATTGGCATTTTTTCAGCTTTGAGAAAGAGAAAAACACTTTATTTGAGAATGCAGCGTGGAGAAAGAACCCCCACATCTCAAGGTTTGTCACAGGCCTGCTAACCCAATGGCAGATCAAATGGTATTATCTGACAAATATTGTAGAAAATAACTATACCATATTCAATATTTTAGGAATGTCTTTTCTGTATATTGGATTTTTACCATCAAATGTATGTCATACTTTCACAATGGACAATATTTCTATGGTTTCATATAAAACCCAGAGGTGAGCACGCCCAGAATATCAGTCACATTCCATCATGGCAGGAGAACTGTGTTTTATGATGGCCTTGCACCTTCATCTTCTTCACTGTTGCCAGGGTTGTTTAAAGCCCCCCAAGGTGGCACCAATTCATTTCTATCAAAAATGCTCGCTCAGCACGGGAGCCAAAAGTTTTATCGCTTCCTGATTTACTATCATACTGTGTGGCTCATTAGGGCATGTGACTTTCAAGGCAAAAGTGATTTTTATTGGACTGTAGCAATGTTTTCTCGGAGGCTTCCAAACACACATAACACTAAACAAATTGTAAATGAATAAATAGTTGTAAAAAATCAGTCTACTTTTTTGTAAAGGTTTAGGGAGTGCTACATTTATAAACAGTAACCAGAGTGGGTTTTTTCAGCGTGTTTAAAATGAAATGTAAAACAAAAAACTATTCGAACAAACCATTATGTGTTGTGAAAAGTCTGCCAAATTATGACCTGGGGGAAACCCCAATTCTGACATACAGTAGATTCAACATCTGAAACCCTGAAAAGAAGTACTGTATGTAAATGTTTATGCTTAACATGCCATTTTAAAGGAGTTTGACTTTATCCTGTTATTGTTAGCTTTAGGGTTAACCATAGCCCTAAGCAGCAGAATCCTTTCACAAGCTAACTTTCATTTCCAGTCAATGAAAAGTGGGAGAACAACATAGGACGATTAGCTTTTCTCGTATATCAAAGTAAACAGGCGGGATCGGATCTGTTTTGAATGAGAGCAAAGTCCCTCATGTTTCGTTTGAACGTATGTTATGTTATTTCTCCAATGGTCTCAGAAAGGTTGTAGAGTCATAACATGTGGTTAGGTCAGACAAACCGCAGAACACGCTACTCCAAACAAAACACCGCCATGAGAACAAGCTGCCACACGATGGTGGCCACATGGGCACTTGTAAACATGGAGAACATGCCCCTAAACGCTGACTTGTTAACTTCAACTTTTAGGAGTAAATAAATACACAGGCTTGCCAACATTTCAGTTAGTTTTTACACATCCCTTGGAAAAAGAAAAACTACAAATAGGGTTCAGTTTGCAGTATTGGCATATTCTCAGAGAGGAAAATGTTGTTGGCTATGGGAGGGAAAAATACTTTTGGCCTAACAGACTGAAAAAAAGCTTAAAAAGAAAGAGAAAAAATAAATCAATGGTTAAGTTTCTCCACTTCCTTTTAAAAACCAATAACAGGCAGTGTCAAAGAAAGCTGCCTTTCAAACTTTATCTGAATTTCAACAACATTTAACCTTAAAGGTTACTGTCATTTAGCTGGTGACTTTGAGGTTAGCCTTTATAACAAACAGAGCTGAAGATCG